GGACATACTGTTCAGTATGAGTACATCATTCTTGATAAATATAGTTATTTTTTTCTTGAACAACGCTTGTGTTTTTTGTTGTCTGATGTTGTTTCATGGAAAAATGTCAGCCAAAGAAAATATTCCTTTAGGCTACAATCATGGGCCCTAGTTATACTAGTGGAAAGAGGTCCATCTTTTACACATTAGATAAAGTATGTTTCATGGTTCAAGCAAAGTGCAAAATCTAGCATATGTTGGCATGTCTGCACTCTCAGCCTGACTTGAACTATAACGTCAGAAAGAAAAACATTTTTTGTGAGAGTTTACTGTGACCTGTTGCATTAGACAGTTTTACACCTCTTTCTTAAAATATTAAATAAAACTTAGGCACAGGTGCCTAAATATGTAAACAGCATTTCACTGTAAATGCGTGAAACATTGTACCTGGTGTTACAGCTCCAGGGCTTGTCAAAAATTACTGTAAACTTTTACTAATGGATACAACTCCATAAAATAATAATGAATATATAGCTCCAAATCAGTTTCACCAGAATGAAAAACCAAAATGTGCCTTATCAAAAATATGAAAAGATAACAACACAACTTGCAGGTGGTGGTTCTGTTATATTTGGTCTGGATTTATTTTATGGATGTATTTTACTCTTCTCTTCCCAATGGAGGCAAGAGTTTATTAATACTGCCTCTCACAGAGCAGTCCTTTCTATCAACATGTCAAGATCTAGGATTAGTTCTGAGCGTGGAATCAGTTCTGAGATTGGAGACTCAAATTAGTTACCAGATTTTTTTTTAAGTGTTTTAGAATTTGGTTTTGTTTGTTTGTTTGTTTGTTTGTTTGTTTTTCAGTGAGTGATTCTGACTTCAGGTGAAGTAGATGTAAGGTAGGAGAGTGTTTTTAGTTGAGCCTCAGACAGTGAACCTGTTTAAGGATTTCGAACACTGAGATCTGAGCTTTTTCACCTTGTTTTACCAGGAACACATGTTTCTTATTCTTAGTCTATACTATTACCTTAGTATTTTATCTTTCCAAATTTTTTTGTCCTGGTTCCTGAATTTAAAGTAGTGTTTTGGAAATGAACCTGTTCATCCCCTTTAGGAATCTGAGTACTTCATCTAAAGCCCCCTAAAGTCTTCTTAGTTCAAAGCTGGAGGGCTTAAATTCTTTTAACCTGTTGGAACAAGACATACCTTCCCGTGCCTAACTACTGGCAGCTGGGATGCCAGGTTTGTTCTGCATGAGCTGCTTATTAGGCACAATATGTATATATTCACATTTGTGGAGGTTATGTCTGGGAATATAATTCAAAATTTGAAGTAAAAACAATTTGTGAAGAAGATTGTTGAGTGAATATATCTTGATATATCTTGGTTTCAACTTTTTTACTGTTAATTACTGTTTAACCTCCTGCCTCTGTTTTACTGTGTCAATTCTCTGAGGAAATGCTTTTTTCCTGGTATTCTACTTATAATGAGATGGAAACAAGTGTTTCAGCAAGAAGAAACAAACTGAACAGCTGCAATCTCTGGTCCCATGTTGTGATCTCATTCAAAAGATATTCAAAGAGCTGAAGTTCTGAAGTAAGACATAAAGAAATTTGTAACGTGGCAGCTTTTAACACTAAGTAGACTTTTACTATTATTCTGCCATTTTTATTAGCTCATTTTTGGAATAGGAAAGGATTATTTACCCATTTTGTCTTACACATAATATCTAAGTACAGAGTTCGATGGCAATCGAGCGAGACTTGTCCTAAATTACATTTTATGAAATGCAAAAACATCAAATATGTGTATTTCACAAAACATTTTGTTGTTCCTATGACATTATTGTTTTTACTTTAGATTTACAATATATGAACTAGTTTGCACTGTGTATTTTCAATAAATATGCCATTTTATTTTTGCACCCAGAAACAAATGAGACAAACTAAGAATGCCTAAGCATTTCAAAACTCTTAGCAATATTTTTTTTTCACTTTTCATTTAATTTCTTTTTCATTCCTGTAACCACATCAGAAATAATTTTATTTTATTTGTGGAGGGTGCAGTATCATGGAAAATGTGGGGTGGTCAACTTCTCTTGAAATTGAATATGAGATAAGACCACTTTATTAGCCATATGAAATTTCTTGCATTAGGAATGTATCTTTTTGCATACCCCCAGCTTGCTCTCCATGAGACACAGAGACAGGGAGAGAGCGCAGGGGTCAGAGCGCAGGATCGACCATTTATACAGTGCCCCTAGAGCAGCTGGGGTTAAGGGCCTTGTTTAGGGGTCCAATAGAAAAGGATTCCTCTGCTGGCCATGGGATTTGAACCTGCAACCTTCCAGCCACAGGCACAGACCCCTAGCCACAATGCCACCACTCCTCCTATAATCCAAGCTGGTTGGTCTTTGATGAATTGAGTTTTGTTCAATTAACAAACTTCATTGTCAATATACTCTGTACCTTATTGCTATTTTGTTCCTCGCCAGTCTATCCTGTTCCACATGTTCTGTTGCTGATTCTTAGATAATCATTTCCATGTTCGCTAACCTCTCCACCTAAACAGCTTCTGAATTAATTTCGCAGAGTTGTTCTTGTGGATCAAACTGGAATTACCCATAGATGGAAACAACTTAGAAATGTCTATTAAATCTGACTAATGTGAAATTGGAAATTGCATTGATGCCACAGTTGCTCCTAGGTTGGTTTTGTTTCCAATGGTCACTTCAGCTATTGTCTGTGACAGATTGGCTTCCCTTTTGCACTTTCTGGCAGACATCTTTAAGAAATATCTTCTTCAGAGCTATTATGGTACCGGAACATTTTGTTTGCATGAAAATGGATACATAGACAGAAACCACACCAGAGGCTCATGCAAAACACATGTAACACACTCCCAGCAAGCAACTGAATAATAAATCAGTAGTGATATACAGAATCCCCTAATGGAGGAAAGCTGGCTAAGGAATACCCCTCTTCTATATCACCCTGCACTGTAGATCTCATTAAAATGACACATTGCATTATTTATTCTCAGTCAATTAATAATGCATTTTTCATTTGCTAAACATCAAAAGCAGTGTTTATCAGCTACTATGTCCAAACTCAGCACACCAGATCACAAAAATGACAACATCTGCCTTATCAGTTTCCTATTTTGCCTGGCAACTTCAGTAATAAATGGATATAGAAGCTAAGAAGCTAAGCCAAGGAGCTAAGCTAAGAATATACAGAATTCAGATGCTCAAAGTTCCACTATCACCTGGACTGAAAAAGTATACATGTACATCTTGCAGACTGAAATTCAAGCTCTCTGAGTTTATAGAGTTCAGGTGTTTAGTTTAGATTTTCATCAGCTCATACATTAACATATACTGTTTAATTTTATGTCAAGTCAACTAGTGGTTCATAAAATACTTAATCTATTTGGTAGTCATGCAGAAAGCATGAGAAGTCTCAACACACTTCTATAGTCAACTAAGTGGCGTTGAAGAGTTAACCGCACTCTCATTGTGACTGAGCTCACAATGACCTCAGTCACAAAACTTACTTTGCTTTAGTTTTTCAGTTTCTTATTATTTGTGTTTTCCTTTTTGGTAATTTTGTATAGAAAATATTTGGATCACTGCAGCTGTTCAGTGCTTGCTGCTGTTCAAAGCCAGATGTGCAGCAGTAATACTTCACAGAAATGAAGGGTGGAGTGGTCAATAGTCCTGGACTTAAAGAGCTACAATCCTGAACTTTCTGTAGATGGTGTTAAATAGTTAATTGTGGTAGACATGGAAAAGCTTAACTTTCATTGATGAATCAGATAATTGTTGAGGTCAATAAAAGCTCAAGTGAAACAAAAATCAGAAAAAAAATTGTCTCGCCATTACCAGGTTTGTAGATTCCTATCTTAATGACTGTGAGTAAATTTCAACAGAAAATGTTGCAATCAAGAGAGAGATGCAGGAACTTACTTTAACACACCAACACAGAATTGGGATAATGTAATTCTACTAATATATGAAAAATGGTTCATATTTGATACAAAATTACTGAACAATGCATTTCAAGCTATATTTTACAAAGTTGCAATATGAGAAATTGTAAGTTTAATTTCAAATTCAAATTTGAAGTTATTATTCTGTTTCATTTTCATTTGCATTTTGTTTCTTAACGGGCAAATATGATGTAGACATTCACAGATGTTTTGGGAAAAGAAAAGTTTAACAGCAAGTCATGATTTTGCCATCTTGCTGCATCTAACAGAGAGCATATTGTTGTACACATTCAAAAGTCAAAAGACTTTAAAAAATGATTAAAGTTTACTTTCAAAGAAAAATATTTTCTTTCCACAAAATGGGGGATTTATGAGGTATCATAATCTGCATGAGAAAGAATATGGATGCATAGCATACATAAAATATGTCATTCACTAAATATGTAACAAAAAATAAATATATGAACCCACTGCAAAACAATGGATTATTAAATGTATCTGAAAAACGAGAATACTCATAATTTTTAAACGAGATTTGAATTGGGAAAAGCAAGCAAAGACAATTGACCAAAATACATTAAGATTTGATCATTCTTACTTTATTCCAACACATGACCCAGTTTTCCCCTAGAGTATAAGACATTAAAGTCATACAACTTCAAATACTTTAGCTTTTGTAAAACAAAAACACTCTTCTAGCTATACCCCAATGAACCTTATTAGGTTTCAGTTAACCCATTAGATACAATTATTTCATCTTTTGTAAATCAGTTCTACTAACTTGTCAACAAACTAGTACAGAGCTAGAAAACCTTTATAACAGACAAAAGGAAACAGAAAAACAAATGACAGATTTTTTAGATATGAATACTTTTTTTCCATTCAGATAGCTTTATTCAAAGCAACACACTTTTGCAGTGAAATTTTATCCAGTTTGCAAATGTATCTTTGTGTCAGTACCTATATATTTTTAAGTTCTTTTCAAGCAGGTTGCATGAACAGGAGAAGGTGGTATTGTGCATGCCTACCTTTCACTGTGGAGCTTAAAGCAAAAAGTGGAATGAAAAGAACGAAGAGAGTCCATTCTGTAGTTGGAGACATGGTGAGTAGTTTGAGAATCCTTTAGTTCGATGCTGCAATGAACAAGAATCAGGCAGTCTCAGCAGTGGCTGCAGCTTCTCGGAGGACAGCCACAATTTAGTTCTCCACCATTTCTCTCCTTCTGGCTCCCTCTTCTGGGAGCTGGTGGGATCATGACTTGATCCCATTTATTTTGTGTTGGTCTGGAAGGCATCAAGGCAGCAGGTTCAGTGGGTGAGAGGTTTATCTGAAAATACTTTTAAGAGTGCAGCACTTACATGCTCTATTTATGCACAAGTTCTGATAACAGAAACAATAAGGGGTCAGATGTACGGGCTCTCTGTCAAAACATGTCTCATGAGTTACAGAGGTGTGGCAATCTTAAAAAAAGACTTTATCTCTAAAATCAACTGTATGCCTTATTTGCACGTACTGTACAACTACAGTGCCCTACAAAAGTACATGAATAGCAACATTGTAACTGTTATTTTTGCTTTGTAGTCAATATTTTTTTGTGATCATGACATTAATTCTCTGGTCATGTGAGTGTGTGTTTGTGTCTGTGTGTGTGCCCTGTGATGGACTGGAGTCCTGTTCAGGGTCTATCCTGCCTTGCACCCGTTACTTGCTAGGATAGGTTCCGGTTCCCTAACAACCCTATATTGGATAAAATGGTTTGAAAATAGATGGAAAGAAGGATGTGTGGACATTCATGCAAGTCACACAAGTTGTATTTTGGAAAAAATTCAAGCATGCATTTGATCATATTAGAACAAAAACATTCTTTGTGAAATCACTTTGTGGAACACATTCCATTTTACTATATTGCCTTACAATATTAATATTTGTTGAATTACTAAAATGGTGTATTCATTATTTGAAGTGAATATTTTTAATCCAAACATGAGTGCTTAAATTCAAAACTTTAATTGCTGAAAGAAGTTAAATCTCAGCAAAGACTAGAAAATCAAAAACTAAAATATGCCGATTACATAAATACCAAAGTCAATATTGGGTGCAAGCACCTACAGAATGGCATCAATTACATCTGTGAGTCTTGTTGGATATGTACCTATTAATCTAGCATGGTCCAATTCTCAACCAATCAATTTTCTTCTCTGTAAATTGCTCAAATTCTGTAAAGTTGGTTGAGGAACACTGCTAGATAACAGTTTTCAAGTCTGTCGATTTTCTATCACATTCAGATCAAGACATTGGCCACTCATAGCCACTCACTTTCTTCTTGTTGAGCCATTCCATTAGAACTCTAATGGATAATTATTAGTCTGATGAGCCCCCTTTATGTGCATCTTTTTTGGCACTCTGCCTTAATCAGTCTCAGAGACAGACATCTCTCACACTTGCGCCTCTCCCACCTCCTCATCTTCTCTTGCCAGCCAGCCTTTCAACTCGTGATCCAACAACTTCAAAGCCTTGATGGGTGTCGCTTTCTCACTTCTTCTGGAAAAAGGCCAGCTCCCTTAACCTGCCATGACCTGTCCCCCCTTCCATAGAACTTCCTAATGTCAGTGGCTGCTTTCTCACTCATTATCTCTCTCTCTCCCTCTTCCCTAGTCTTTTTTCTGCTTTACCTTTAGTAGAACATTACTGCTATTCCTTCTTTTTTTGGGTAATCAAAAAGTGTTCATCCATTCAGTTGCAGCAAACGTCAGCAAGTGGCAAACCACGAGTTCCTAATCAACTTCCACATCTGGTCATAGATTTCCCGATGGCCTTCGGTTATTTCCGGGTCAACTCAGAGTCTGCTGAAGACTACCACACAATTCTAATTTCATCTTAATTGGGCTTTGTTGGCTCTACTGTCACCTGTTCACTGATCATACCTGGTTCTTA